AATTTCAAGACGACCATGTAAAAAACCTCTAGTAGAAACAGATTCAGAAGTCGGACATGGTTTACCATGGAGTTTATAATATGTAAGTTGAATTGCCATCTGAACAACTGCATCAGGGCTGACCGTAGCTATAATAAACCAAAACTGTTATATATAAAATTATTCTTTGAACATAATAAGCACAACATATGCATTACCATTTTTTAGCCAATCGGCACCATATTCATTATAATACAAAAAAACACTATCAACATTATCAATTGTAGCTTGAATATTAATTTGCGCTTGTTGAATTGTGTTCACTATAGAAGTATCAATAACCCATTTCAAGTATTATGGAGGTGATAATTCGATGGGAGATGCGTTTGGCGGATCACTTTCATTTTTAACATAAGACATTAACAAATGTTATCTAAAATATATATTAATAAAACTTTAAATAATACACCAGTATTTATAGAATTTAATTTTACTCACTTTGAAATAATGTAATCGAATATGCGATGTGCAACTGTACCATCAAAAAGTGAATGCTATTGTCAATTCGATAAAGTATAAGTAATAATGAATTATTAAGTTACAGTCATACTTGAATTATATCTCTCTTTGTTCCGTAGTATTTTTGGTGGTGTAAAGTAGGGATATAACTCAATAAAAAACATATAAATATAATCTATATATATATATATATATATATATAAGAAATTATACTGCTTAAATACGGTGATATAACTCAGGCATGATCGTATGCCATCTTACCTCACCATTAGCACCAGCAAGTCCATTATTTGCAAAACTAATTGAATTGCTTTATCAAACCATCGATCTCGACCGTTATGCATGAATGCAATTATGATTAGAAACATCTATATTTGTATCAGTAGGATAGTCATCCAATGCTACACTAAATAAAGCCGTGTCAATTGCTTCAAAACTGATCTTATTTTCTGCAGATGAAGATTCAAGCTTTTTGCGAGCCTGAAAGATAAAGAAATGAATTTAGCAAAAACA